TGTATGTGAGCTTCATTGTGCTCCACCTGACCGCCGCGGCGCTTTTTCTTCCGCCTGGGCCCTCAGTGCTGTCGCAGTTTCTTCTTGGGCTTGGACTGGGCACTAGTGGAAGACCAATCCTGCCCTGTCAGCACAAAGTATGCTTTTATTTTGTATCGTTGTAGTGTTCGAAGAGTAGTGGTTCGTGCATGGACATGTCGACTTAGCACTGCAACCCTTCCCACGAATGACTCATCACATTCGCAGTTGTCACAATTTGGACTCAACACCCATTCATCTCCCTGCTCGAGTCGCTCCCATATGTCGATGGGGTAGTGATGAAAATAATGAAGAGAAGGTTCCATATTGAACCTTCTAAGCCTCAAGTGATGAGCCATACGAGCTAGATCCCGATAGGATGCACAAAAATCATAGCTTGCAGAAGCTGCAGCCCCAGCAAGGGCTTGATCAAGCCATACACCATTCCGGTGCAGCAAATGAAAGAACTGCAGTCCTCCCAAGCATCCCTTCAGCACAGCCCTCAAGAGCGGAGCGTGTGTAGGATCAAGAGGGTGATCAAGGAGGCTTTGCTTTGGTCTCTTGTTCGTGGTCTCATCCAAACAACCTTCCTGAAGCAATCGACAGATCCACCTCAGCATCAACATGATGTCTCCTCCCTTGATGCGCAAGTAAGGGAAGGACCCAACTTTGGCCCAGTGAAATATTGTTTTCGTAAACGACTTCAAATTGGAGACATGGGATCCATCCCACTCGTGCTTGATGTAGAAGGTGTAGTCAACGCATGCAGCCTCAAGGAGTTTCTCAGCCATTGAGGATCCCCCTTCTCCAATGAAGTATCCCAGGTCACAGAGTAAGATGACACTGGAAGCTACAAAATGGCCTCCTATCGTTTGCTTGAAAATGTGGAATGGGTCCTTCCTGAACAGCAAGTGCGGAGCAAACTGCCTGTGACCTATTTGCAGCAAAGGGGATGGAAATCCCTCGTCCCAAGGATTCTCTAAACCTGCCGTGGCTTTCCAAGCTGGATGTTTGCTGATCTGTTCAAAGGGGGCTTCATCCAGGCCCGCGAGACATTCCAAGCAAATCCCTTTGCCAACAGTCTCGGAAAGATTCCTTAATTACGCCGCCGGGCGATGGCAACCAGCACTCGCAAATCAAAAGAACACAAACAACACCCGAAACAACCATTTGAACTTAACTTCAACTCAGGCTCATAAAGGACCGGTTTGCATGAGCGGCTTTTGCAAGAGCAGGTGCATCGCCCTTAATCCCCAAGCAGATGGGAAAAAAATCAGCTGCACCATCCTCGGAGAGAGATCTACTCTCAGATGCCAAGAGGTTGAGGATGTCATCATACACGCGAGCAAAGCCCTTCGTGTACCAGCGCTTAGGCAGTATTGTCAAAAGAAACCTGGACATGAATGGGGAACCACGCTGGTTGTGCGCCTGGGATTTCAGCATCACTCGTTGCATCTCCAAATCAGACCGGTCAGAAGTGCTGGAAAACAGTTCTTCGAAGTTGTTCTTGGTTTCAGCTCCAAACAACGGTTGCATGTTATAGATAAGGACTGCTCTTTTTCTCAAACCTGTGCCTTCGTCCAAGTGTAAGTAGTAGGGCACACACTTGTTGAGGGAGTCTGAGTGGTAATCGTACACCCAGTGGTCGCTGTGTGCAATCCGGAAGGTAGACCAAAAAGCTTCCAACAGTAACTTGCTCCTTGGGTCATCTTTCTCAAAGCCACCAAGCACGACTTGAGGATAGTCATGAAGTAAGAACTCGAACCAGGTTTTGAGCTTGATGTGGTGCACTTGAAGCAAGCCAACCCGGAAAATGCTAAGCTTCACAGGGATGCTAAGTTGTTCTTCTTCAAACAAGCGATGTAGATCCCTCTCTGAGTTCTTGAGATTCTCAACTGTCATGCGGCCAGCTTTTCTGATGGCCGCGGAAATGTGATTGGACCCTTGATCATTCGCTTCAAGGATTGCACTATGGGCAAACCTCCGCAATCGAGCTGCCGAAGCCTTGGGCGGCAATGGGCAGGACAGAGATGCCGTGCATTAGACTGGTGTGTGTTTGGGGCAAATCTTCAAAGATGTATACTTGCCATACAACATGTTAAAGCCCAGAAGCCCCATCAGCTAGTGAAAGGGCCAAGTTCTTTAGCATGACACGAGGTTGTGGCCGCACTTCTTTTCGATCCCGCCATCCTGGCATCATATTGGGTGGAAACCCCAGGAACATGTGTTCAAAGCACAATCATTTGGCTCGGTCTCACAATTCAAAAGCCTTTTTCACCTAGGGCACCATGGTCTCAGACAAGACACTACTTGCCTCGGGCAACCCTGCTCAGCTCTGGCTGTGAAAACAACCGGAATGCAAAATTGACAATAGGTTTTGGAGGGCGCAGGGCCGCATCTAGTGGCAGAGTGTCGCACATAAAGATAAAGATTGGTCAGGCTGCTGTAGTGCCCTATCCGCACGCTAGAAAAGACATTCCTCCCTGATGGAATGTCAAAGCCCGAGACCCACTCCCCTCCATGAGTCAATCCTTCCAAAACAAAGAGCCAAAGAACAATGGCTTTGTTTGTGGAGATTGGGTCAGTTTTTTTGTTGCAGGGGAGATCCGAGTTGTATTTTTGAGGTCGGGGATCCATGTCTCAAATCACGCCCGGCTTTTGGCCTTCGGCTTCGCTTTTGCGTCTGCCTTGGCCGCGGCCTTTGCCTTCGCAGCAGGCTTCGCCTTTGCCGCTCCTTTGGCCTTTGCCTGGGCCTTTGGTTTGGGAAGTGGAATGGCACGAGAACGGGCTTCCAAGGACAATGACTCTTGGGCCCTTAGCCGACAAGAAGGTCAAAGAGAGTTCTACAAGAACCTCAAGCAGATGTCGTTTGTGTGTTTGGCTTCACTTCAACACCCCTCGAGTAAAGAACACTTGAGGCATGGGCAATTTCATGGCTTCCTTGTAGCACACCATCAGCTGCCTCTCTTGCCTTGGGGAGATTGAACAATTGGAGTAGCATGGAGTAGCTATCTCAAGATATCTCAAGGTATTGTTTGGTTTCTATCCAACACTTCTTGCGTGAGAGGAGCTCCTCACTGTAGCCCTCAACAGCCCCACTGGAGTAAATATCATTGATCTTGTTCTGTTTCAGCTCCATGCTCTCTCCACTGACCCTCAACTTCTCGATGAACCTGGGCTTGCCAGACATAGGGAACAGTGGCAATCATTAGTATGTCATTCAACGTTGACATGTTTCAACATAATCTACCCTCAAAGTATGATAGTATATAACAAATATAGAAACCTATTATAAGTTTATAATTTTATTGAACTGATCTCAGCTCAAGGTGCGCGTTGTGGGTGTTTGTGCGTTGGTCCTCTGGAATCGCATCATACTTGGCCTTCAATTCCTTGGAACGCCAACCCCCATAATTGGGAAAGACATGCTTCTTCCTATAAACATGCAGCATCACCTAACAAAGCATGATTCAGCCAAAACTCTGTAACCTTGGAAACACGCTTTGTAATCCCTTCCATGTACTTCAATATCACAGAGGAGGCCTTCTCATTCTTTTGGACCTGGGGCAAGATAGGTGCCTGGGGTGGAGGACCGCCTCCACCATTCGAAGAGCTTCCACCCCATCCTGCCAAGCTCAATCAGGTCTTTGGTGAGAAAGGGTTTGGAAATACAAGGGCTTGTTTCTGTTCCATAAATAAAGCTATGAACCCTTTAGCTAGCCTAGCCTGCTGTTGCACCACGGATGTCAGCCATCTCAAAGGTTGGATTGGATGGCTCTTCACCCAGCGCATCACCGGCCGTGGTCTCAACTCCGAATTCGGTTTGCTCTCGTCGGGTCTGGGTTTTGGAAGTCTCCCATTCCGCTTCCACATCCTCTTCAAACCAAAATGCCAATTTTGATTCGTACTTGTCCCATCTCAGCACGCGCGGGCCAGGGGAGAAAAAAACAATATCTCATGTTTCATGGGGTGCAACCCTTGCATGACTTTTTGAGTCCATAGTGCATCAAAGGTTCTTTGTCAAGCCTGAATTCTTTTCGCAAAACTCTTTGATGGCCTTGATGCGGCTCCTAAGCTAGCCATGAGACCCCAGCCCCAACCCCATCGTACTTCGTTCGTGAACATACCGATCCATGCATACATAAACACATATAGTAAGTCTAGTAACTCCTTCAGCTTTAGCACATCACGCATCTTGTCCTCTGTAGCCCATTGACCCTTGATGCGCATCTTGACACTTTGGCGACTCTCCACCTCCTGGGTAACGTGCTTGATGAATTCCTCCTGGATGGCTGGGCCATACTGTACGTTACAGAGCCTATGAGCTGGAGGTGCTCAAACAAGACTTCAGTGAGTACAAATCAGTTTAGAATTATTATTGTGTATATAAATGGATCCATCAACATCTAGTCTTTGCAACAAAGCACCTTGTTGAAATTCAACGACTGAAGCAGTTCTTGGAGACGGGTTCTGCCAGCACCACCCTTCTTCCATTCATCGTAAATCTCAGCGGGGACATTGAGAGTCCTAGGGCATTGAGTTGAAGGTAATCCATTGCAAGAGGATGTATACACAGGAGAGTCTAAAACCTCAAGTTTCAATAACACAAATGATGTTGACTGTCAAGTTAGTTGCCATGTCTCCCATCACTTCGGGGCTTCACCATGCGAGCCAGACGTTTCCGTGCAGCTTCATCACCAACTTGTTGGTTGGCACTCTCCAACGACTCGTCAAACCCTGGTTGTGTCTCAGCTTCAGAAAGTTTCAAAGTCAACTCCTTCAATTGGTTTGCCAATGCACAGTTCTCATCTTGAAGGCGTTGGTTTTCCATTCTCAAACTGAACACCTCATCCGGTGCCTCTCCCGTTTGTCCCAGGCTACCCGAAGCTCGTTCTGCGTCCTTCAACGAAGCATCCCCTTCAAGGACAGCATGGAGGGGTGACTCAAACAGGGTTTTCCTTTCTGGAGTTTTTCCATTCAGACAGGCTCTCTTCAGAACCTTGCCCGGGGTTGTGGCAGAAAACATAGTGGGGTGGCCCCCACGAGATGGTCCACCATCACCCTGCGCTGGTGAATACAGTGCTCGTTGACGCTCAAGCTCCTGGCATTTGCAATGCACAAGGGCCACAGAATTGGAACTTTTGCAGGGTTGGTTTGGATCCCACTTGGATTCAAGGACGACAGACACTTTGGGATGCATCTCGATCGATCAAACTAGCACTTTAGTACCACACAGTGCCAAAATTAGAACATGTTAGAACCATTCTTTAGGCATATACTTTTGGAGACCTTTCATTAAAGAAAGAAACCTGGAACTGTTTCAAGGCCTTTTGAAGAACCAATTCCGACAGCCGACAGCAAAGCGATGGCAGCATAGGTCCTGCATCTCTGCTTCCATGGCTTCAATGTCAGGTTCACACTTCACCTGTTGTCCCTGTAGCACTCTTTCCCCTGATAGAAGACTGTTGCTACTGAGCGTTTTGGAAGGCAGCTTGGTTGGTCCAGCACCGTTTTCGCTCATTGCAACCCTCCGGAGCTAAGACTGGAACACCCACACACTCTTGAACAGTTCTATATGTAGCATCAATGAACGCAGCAAATCAGAACAAACAGATCTATATATATAGTGGTATTCGTGCAGACTGACTGATCCACGCAAACAAACCCTTTCTTGCAAACCTTTTCCAAGTCAGAAAGCTTCAAGTGTGACTATCTCACACTTGCTTAATTGCAGAAGACACCACACGCCGCGGAGGCAATAGGATTTTGTAAACAACATAAGTAAAATGAGGCCCCTCTTCAGGAGATGGTGTTTCCCCTCCTGGTTTCTCATTGCGGCACCCTGGTGATCCTTGAAACTGATGAATTAAGAAGCTCTCAACCAAAGCAGCGCTGAAGGAAGTGTCAGCGATAGCTATGATCTTCATGCCCAACCAGCCTTCTCGTTTGTCATTGACATAGCCATAGTTTGGGTGGGTCCACCTCTTAACCGGATTGGACGTGATACCCACTTTGTACACAGCTGGATGTCTACTGAACAAGTCTCGGACACATCGATCAGAGTGTTGGAGAACTGCACTAGCCCTCGATGTTTTGCACAACTGGAAAAGGATACAGCCCTTAGCATTGTTGGTCTCATCCAAAAGGGGTAGAATCTCATTCCGTAGACGAGGCAACTCAAGTATCTCATTTCCAAGATGCCTCAGCCACTCTTGATCTGGCCAGGCACTGAGAAGATCCGAGCGCGATCCGAGAGGACACAGCAGTGGGGGAGATGGCCTTGGCGTTTTCAATACATTGATCTGGGCTTCTAAAAGGGCAACCTGTTCTCTCAAGTTGGAATTCTCCTTCTCAAGCTCTTGCAGTTTGATAGCACATCCTGTGGACTTTCCAGTGGTTGATTCTAGGTGAACATCTCCATCAGAATCCCATAGGATCGAAGCTAACGACCGCAAACGCTTAGCCATTGCCCCATGCCTCTCCTCCAACCCTGCTTACCAAATTGAACCTGAATTTGCGCCGGTATATATTTGATGGTGGATGCATGCATGGACCATGGACTACACCAGGCAACGTTGACCTGTGTAACCCAAGAAACGTGCCAAAGTCCATGAAGATCATACATCCTTGAACCCCCACACCTTCAGAAACCAATGTTCCTAACACTTCTGTAGATAGTGCGAGATGGTCACAAATGTTTGCAACACCCAGTGAACCATTGGGCCATTGGACAAATGGCATCAAACCAACAACACACCCCAGAAAACTTGATGATACTTGATGTCATGTCAACACTTTCCAAAGGGTCTTGTGCAGCGATTTGTCCTAAGTATACAAACTCCAAATATATACACCTGTACCATCCCAGGGCTCAGTCACAACGACAGGAACACCATCGATCGATCTATATATACTGTTGGATGGGAGGGTTATAGGCTGTTGGTGGGTGTGCAAGCCTGGGTGGCTTGACCAGACCTGGGCAGGTGCGGAAGGCTGGATGCTCCCGGACACTCCCGGACGCTCCCCGGACGCTCCCCGGACGCTCCCGGACGCTTCCCGGACGGACGGACGGACCCCTAAAAAGGTACGCGTTTTCAAAAAGTGTACATGGTGTCCGGACGGGTCCCAGCCGGACGCCAAAAACCGTCCTTTGGACGCCTAAAACCGTCCTTTGGACGGCCATCCACAACCATCCCCAGAAAAAAAGGTGCGCGTCCACAAAAAAAGGTACTTGCTCTTTTCTGTTCATTCTTTGGCGCTATCAGGTTAGAGAGTTGTAGGCAAAAGTGGTCGCCAATCTTCTGGAATGTTCAGCAGACGGCTCCCACGGAGATATACGATGACTTCTCTCATCGCTGCATCATCGCAGCCATCCCCCCACTCAAGACTCGCATACAGGGTCTTGAGGTCTGTGGTGTAGTCAACCTTGACAAGTGGCGTTTCAAGCCCCAGCATAGCCCTTCCCTCAAAAGAACCCGTTGGTTGTCTCGGGAACCAATGGGTGCAGATTTATTTGGAATTTGGTGGATTGTGGTGATAAGTGTTGGTTGGGGTATCAACCATACAGATCGTGCAACAAAGCTAATTTAAGTGAGGGGTTGCCAGACTTGCCCAGCCAGTGTGTCCATTGTCCGTTTTGGACCCTGGCAAACCGAAAACAGTGAGGGCTTGTGGAAAACAAAGTCTGAGTCTTTATACACCCTCCCAGCAGCCTTTGGGATCTTGTCCCGTTCTTCATGCCTTGCGATCTCATTGATTTGCAGGATGTGCCTTGCGAATGGCCACGTATAGAGCCTGAGCAGGAGCTGCATAGCTGGGAATTGGGAGAAGTGTGATAGGGTGTGCAGACAATACTCACATTACCCCATAGATTTGTGGTGCAAACAAAAACCTCTCACACAGATTGGTTAAGGGACTGTGTCTTTTTAAGGTTGGAATTTCCATGAAATCTCTGTTTGCCTTCCTTGGACTTGTACTGGGTCGTAGTTTTCACCTTCGTAGCCAATTGATGTTTCTTCATCCTCTCAGCAAAGGAAAGCTGGGCGATCCAGGAGGTATTTGAATAGAGCACGCTTCGCTTTGGAGTGGGAGCATCTAGGGCCCGCATCCAGAAAAACTGGCGGAACATCTTAGCTGTGGTAAATAAGGGCCAATGAGAATAAGTATATACAACTGTTACATAACCTTTTCAACACTCTCCAAACAGCAAACAAAACATTCAACATATCTGCTCAGCTCAATTGGGTATTGAAGATGGCGGCCACCATCCAGAGGTTTGTTCTGCATACTATGTTATGCAATATGGCACCCCTCCTATTCCTATATTATATATAGACAATACCCAATCGATTTCAGGAAAGGATCCCTCATCGATAGCTTCCCAAGAAGGTCCAACAACCATACCATGCGATCATGTTTCATTAGAAGGGAAGAGCTGGGCTGCTCGATGATGTAGACCCCTTCCATGCAAATGGTTGCCATCACCAAAAGCACCACCCTCAGTTTTGACAAAACATCGAACCCTCCAGTAAACATCGATCGATACCGCATTGGGGGCCCATAGCCAAATTGAAGAAGCTTGTTTGATATGTTGTTGAGTGAGCACAAGCCCAGAAAGTGCAAAAAATAAACGATGTAATTTCTCAAACCAAAACTCCGACTCACCATAAGGTTTGAGGCTTGGACTGAAGAGTATGCCAAACATCCCATAGGACATATGAACGATCTCTTGGTACTTCCTCTAGACGTAGCGATCCAGGAGCTGCAACACACTCCCATACATACCAACAAGGACCCAAAGGATCCATCCAAGATCGCCCGCAAAGCTAACCTCAGCAGATGCCAGGAAAACATACCTCAAACAAGTCTGAAGTTTGTGCAGAGTATCCAATATATATTTGGGTGTCCTTATATATATATATATGTGGGGGCCCTTTGGCGCAGAAGGAAAACAATTTTTCTAAATGTCCAAAACCCAAGAACACAAACCCACTTGCTGAGTTGACATCGAAGATGTGGGAGTCTTTGTGGTAATTAATGTCCATTGCACAGGCATTCTCACCTCTTTGCCTTGCCATTCTAGCAATCCGGGCTTCTCCTGCAAAGAGATCTACCACACCCCACTCGCGAGGGGAGGCTCCCGGGCTCAACCATAGGCAAAGCAGGATAGCTGTGATGAGAACCTTGGATTGAAGCATTTCATAGGACGAAAATGTTTAGCAGACCTTTAGTTCGACACCCCTACTAACATACTCAGTGAACATGCAGTCTAGTACCTTGGGGCTGCCAAGTGCGAAGTGGTTCCTCAGCATTCGCTCAGCGACTTGGGGGTCCACCATGGCAGCAAGGATCCCAACTAAAGATATATACCTCCTATATATCCTTTGGAGTTTCAAACTGCGATGCGGGCCAGCTCCAGGTTCTCAAACAGCACTTGCATGAAAACCTTTGAGAAGTTTCAAACATTCCATATAGTCAACTCAAGCCCGGATGGCCTTTGTCTTTGAGGAGCCCGTGCCGAATGAAGAATGATGCCTCAGTGACCATAGGGAGTGAAGTCTCTTCCAACCCTGCTAGTTAAACCTGGTCAGCCATTGTAGAAATAAGGCAAAAGGGCGCAACTTGGTTTGTCTCACATCCATAAAATGTTCACCCCATCTGTTCCTACATAATTTCAAATTTCCAGCATTTAGAAATGCTGAATGGCAGAAAAGTCGCTGCTGGCAAAGCGAAAGGTTGCAGCACATTGCAAAGGATTCAACAGCTGTTTCAACAGGATACATGGCGCATACAAAATGAAATGAACACTGCACCCCAGTGCTAAATGACATGAAGCCACCCCAGCAGCTGACTGGCATACACGGGTTACTACACGGGTTCACCCGTGCAAATGAGAAGGCCTTTCCCTTCTTCATCGAACCCTCAACCCTCAAACAGATCTCAAAAGCTCCAAGACTATATATAGGTATATAGTCTCTCACAGTCTCAGATTCTGCGTCCTGATGTCTGCCCACTTTGCCAACACATCCGTGGATGAATAGTCGCCTTTGGCACGGTCAACCAGCTTGGCCTCAGACATGGAAAGAATAGTGAGATGGCTGGCCTGGCTGGCCAGACTCCCAGACTAAGACGCATCACTACCCATAAAGACTCCAATGAAAACAAAACAGCCAAGAAACCAACTCAATGATAGAATGGAACGCCTCCGTCATGGAGAGATGCTTGCAGCTGAGGTAGAAGGCCTACCCACGCAGTCAAGGATTAAACAATATGATGATTTTGACATTGAAAATTGAGATTGAAACTCAAAAAGAAACACACACACAACCCATGCTCCTGAGTAAGTCCAGCTTCACCATCACGACGTCGACACTTCAAGCCAACAGCGCTCCTGCTCCAATAGGGCGTCACATGGGAGTGGACAAAGTACTGCATTTGCCCCTTCAACATCTCTTTCTCCTGCTCTGGTGATCCATTCTCTGCCACCTTTGCCTTTGGTGCTGACTTCGCCTTTGGCGCTGACTTCGCCTTTGGCGATGACTTTGCCTTTGGCGCTGACTTTGCCTTTCTGGCATCAGCCTGCGTCCCTCCAGTCTGTGCAATCGCTTTGCTCGCCTTTGACGATCTTGCCTTGGGCTGAGCTTTGGGCACAGGCTGGTGCTGAGGGTCTTCACTGTTCCCCTGAGCAACACGCACCTCAACCTGCTCAGCCCCATTCTCCACCTCAGCATCCTTTTGCTTCCTTTGGCGCTTTGGTTTTGGCTGACTTTCCACATCTGGAGTCTGACCTTGCTTGGCCTTCCTTGGCTGTCTTTTCTTTGGCTCACTTTTCACCTTTTCACCACCTGCCTTTTCCTCCTCCTCATTCACCGGCACCTTCTTTCGACTCTTGCCCTCAGCTTCATTTGCTGGAGTCTTTTTTCCCTTTCCTCTGCCTTTCCCACCGCCACGACCCCTGCCTTTGGCAGGCTCATCCTCTTTTTGGGCCATCTTCTGCTCCACCCGTCGAACAAAGGTATCATCCTCCTCCTCCTCATCATCTCCACCTTTTGAAGTCGGTCCTGGAGGAGCTACCTCCTCCTCCTCATCATCATCCCCCCCCACCTCCTTTTTGGTGGAGACCTCCGCCAATGGAGCCACAGGCTCATCCTCATCCACCATCTCCACCTCGTTGACCTCCTCGATGCAAGGTTGCTCAGCCTCAGGCGTAGGCGCTGGAGGTGAAAGGCCCAGAACTGAGGCAGGAAGGGCCTCATCAACTGGATCCTGCCAGAAGGCATGCAACAGCTCAAACAGAAGAACCCATGAGTGGGGCTCCTGATCCGCAGCGTTGAGATTCTGATGCTCAATCACCATTGGGGCCTCAGCCACAACAAACACATCAACACCACAAACATGTTACCAATCAGGCCACATCCATTTTGCACAAACAGTGTGGCCCTGTTTGATGAATGCATGCGAAGGGGCAGGGGGGGCAGGGGCAGGAGGAGCAATAGGTGTTGATGAAGTCGACGTAGATCTCGAGCTCGATGAAGTCAAAGCCCTGCGCTCTGCCAATTGACGCCTCGATCCACTGCCAAAACCAACTTTTCAAAGGGTGAACTGATAAAACCAAGAAAGTCTGGCAACAAACGCAACAAACAAGGCTTCTTGCAAACAGGGCACTGCAAATGCGCAATGCGGGCATCGACTTGTTCCTTCGACATCCCATGAAGGCTGAGGCCATGTCCTGATGTCCTGCTCCCACTTGGGAGGATGCCTGAGGCCAAAGGTGATGGGGCCACAGGTGATGGAGTATCAGGCACGGTAGGTGTCACTGCTTCCTCACATTCATCAACCAGAGGCTGACTCTCATCAACCACGACTTGGCTGCTGCCCAGTTCAGTGCCATCCACAGGCTGACTGTCATCAAAGACTTCAGCAGCAAACTCAAATGGCAATGTTTCAACGGTTGATGGATCACTTCTCCGAGGTGGGATGTTGTTTGGAAGAGGCGGTGGTGGCATGTCATCAATAATGCCCGGGTCCTCTTCCAAAGGAGTATCACCAAGCGCCTCTAGATCTTCCTCCAACCACTCCTGGAATGCAAACCAATTATACTGAAAAAACAAAGCATTCATCATTCGTTGCAACAAAAGCCAACAAACTCATGAAAGAGCCTCATCCATATCGGCGCCACAGCCATCAGCGACAGGATTCGGCATCACACCCCCATACCAAGCTTCCAAGTAAACATTCATGATCTCAGCCACATCAGTATCCTGGGCTCACACCCATTCAAAGGTCTACACTATTACTTCAAACCTGGCAGGGACAAAGTATAACAACATCAGTTCCAATATGCACCCATGCTGTAAAGGGACCCGTGGTTTGCGCCCCAGCCGCAAAGCACGCAAAACGTGGGTGAGTAGCCGGCGCACACCCCAAGCATCAGCATGCATGCCTATTTTGCCAGGAGCAGGTTCATCATCCGTTGCCATGAGGGACCAAAATTTCTTCACCTGCAGGTAACTCGGAAGTTTCTTTTCTTAACATACTACCTGGTATAAAGAACAACACATGGACAAGGTGTTTTGACAATTACACTGGTATGCATTCATTTGCACCGCAGGAGTCTTCTGGCCTGCACTTTCAACGGAGTGAGAGGCACGGTCCGGGGAGCTCCAGAGTAGTCGAAATCAAAGATTTGAATCCAAGCTTTGGAGGTATGTAGCAGAACATTGGAGTTGAGCTTGACAGCCGCCCTGGGCTGATCACAGCTCACACCAAATTTTATGAGGGCTGACTAGAGCTCAAAGCATTGATCCAGGAAATTCAGAAAGAAAGTATAAGAAAGTTGTTTTTGCGATTGGGCAGTTTATCACAACAACCATTTGTGACTAAGACCACATCCATGTTTTAGAAAACTATGCCATTCAAGAAAGCTACATCGATGGCACACCAGTAGCCTCAGGTCTAGGCCATTGCACGAGTTGCCCTCGTGACCTAGCATTCCTTCTGATCTGTGAATCTTCCTCCCAAGCTTCCGCCAGGCCATCGAGATTGAACGCCATGGTGAGTGGGCAAATGGATCGCCGATATCAACTGTGAACCCCAAATTGCTAGAAACACTACATAGATTTGTATAGGCACCTGTTCACAGCCCTAGCTCAAAAGACTTTCCAATCAACTATCAATAGCTGAACTGCTGAGCCGCATTCCCACTCCAAAGTAGACTGGGTTCCCAAACCATGTTGAGACGCGCTGTCTCAGAAGACCTGCGTGGGACAAGTCCAGTAGTGAGATGGAAGCGCTTTCGGAGCAGCGAGAGGATCACAGATGCACATGCAGAACATGTTTTTTCACACATGAAGCTGGACGCTGGTTGAGTCTTAGGCAGGTTCACGGTTCACTCTGCAGACGACGATGAGCTGCCCTGAGAGTGCAAAAGTATCAATTGGTCCAACTGTGTGTTTGGATATGATAGGATAGGACCAAAGAAAAAAACACTGTCCAATAATGCACACGCACATGCACACACATGATTTTGGGCTAAGTTGCAGAGAATGCTTCTCCTGCAAACAAAACGAACTTTTATATGCAGGGTCCACCCTCCGTTCTGTTAAATGCATTTCCTTTTGCAGCTTCCACAATATTCATTCAAGAGAACCCCTTCCTGAATGATGCCGCTTCGCACAATTGGCTACCAATCCTCCATTGTCAAAATTCTGAATGATGGCCAGTGCGGCATCCCTTGATGGTTCTTTGGCCTCAGACCGTTCAGACATTTTTTAGTCCAAAGTCAATAGGCCAACTACCAAAAGCATAAAGGAACGACTCTTGCAAACTTTGGTAAAGAGGAAGGGCTCGCAAAAGGAATACTGAGGAAAGACATGGAAAGACCTTTTGCAAAAGGAAGGCTACTGCGCAAAAGTTGGCAAGCTACCTTGGTTCCATACAGGATGTTCATGACATCCGTCCAGAATGAATCAGGAAGCCCAGTAAGGCCTCCATTGCCAAGTGCATGCCTCCCTGACTTGACTCAGTAGCTTTTGAAGTTTCATGAACAAACCTCGCCTCGAGCGTGGAACGCTTTCTGCAACTCATCATCTTTCTCCACAAAAGCATTCATGGTTTCAATCTGGGTGTTTCCCTCAGAAAGGTTGAGCCAATGGCTTCAGATACTCCACGTGAAGTCAAGAAGACTCCAAAAGAATTCTAAAGGCACAACCAAAGCAGTCATGACCGCTCACTGTCTTGCAAAGAGCTAGGTGGGAGCGCACCTTGATGCATCCAGGCTCCCATACCCTCTAGTCTAAATGGAAGCCCTTGCTTGATCCAAATCACCTCCATACTAACTTCACTCCTGTCCTTGAGTCTCTAATTCCCTGAAAGACAAAAAAAGGTACTCTTTTTAAAAAAGAGTACTTTTGATTAAGAAACTATTTCTTTTGAATAGCCCTAAAAATAAAGGTGCATTGGAGACTCAAGGTATATATATACTATATATATATCTTATAAATATTGTGTACTCGCCTAATAAAATCAAATATATAGTACTATTTTTGTTCAACACCGTGTTTAATACGGAACTCGGTCGAGAAACGAAGCGGTTTTGATTGCTCGGTCAAAACCTGTTTCGGATCATCATCCCGGACCGGCCAATGCTCGGATCTCGTTGCGTGGCTCCCCTGTCCTGCCCATTTGGGGTGATCTAACGTCACCGGAGACATCCGATTAGGAACTGAGACTCACCACTGTGCCGACGGCCGATGCTATAATGCGGATCCATGGGACCTGGAAGAGGACGGCCGCCTCAGTCCTAGACCCCCGTTGAAACACGGACCCCGTTTGGTAGGTAAAGATTGGGTCTATCCTTTCTGACCATTTCTGACCTGGGCCCAGTGGATGACGATGGTTAGTAGAGGCCTTGTCCAAAAAGTGTGATATATAATTGTTTACTGACTGTTACAGGTAATAGGACAAACCCTATATGCCAGTCCCATGGAGCGTCTGGGATAGATGGTAAATCAATGATCGATCATATCGGTGCAGATTGTGCGCTGTGTACTCATCCCAGAAAAGAGTCAGACAGTCCAAAGCGCAGTTCTGTGGTGGGTGGTTCTATAGTTCTGGCAGCGCATCGTGAATTTCAGCTGCGGGCCAAATCCATCCAAATCGGACACACCAATAACACCATGCCAAACACTCCATCTATGGCTTAGTTGCCTTACACTGCGGTGCTTCAAAAGAGGCCCATGCAGGCCTCCTATCCCTATAGGCCTCCTAACCGACCTCCTCCGGACCGGACCACCGAAACGCTCCGCGGGTCCGGTTTCGGTCCGGTCCAGCTCTGCTCCGCCCGGAGCCCTCTGGGCGTTCCGGCTGAGCGCCGCAGCACTGGACGGACCTCAAGGTTCCTGGGGCCTCTGTCGACGCGACGTGGCGACGGGGTCGTCGACCCGACGTGGCGACGTGGAAGGCGAAGGACGAAACACCGAGAGTCGCGGTAGAAACACGGACATGCGTCGTAGGTGAGAAACACCTGGTACAACGCGTAAGTTTTGGAATGTTTGTTTCTTCTGTTGGGCCTGTGCATGGCCACTTGAAATGCCAAGTTAGGTTTAACTAGTTTGTTGATGTTTGTTGTGCCTTTCGAGGCTCGGGCAATCCCCACTTCAGAACCTGTGGATTTGGGCGCTTTGATGCAAAAGGCAGAGAAACGGTCACCCACTAGACCTCCTGTCCCACATCCTGAGGTTCAGTGCCTGGAGTGGGTGGTTGCCAGGGGGTCCAACTTCCTTCAGAGGAGGTGGGCCAAGAGCTCGCTGCACCGTTTTTCCGGCCGACCACGCGAAAGAATGGCCCGGTCAACCTGAGAACCCATACCGGTACCACGCGTGGACCCTGGTCAACGAATGGGTCATCATGAGGGCTTCACCCCGTCAAAACATCTAAAGTGACCCGGCAAGGGCCATCATTCCCAACTCGGACATCACCAAGCGCTTGCGATGCATGTCCTTTGATTGCCAAATTTCATAAAATATTTCATAATTTTTTAAATCTCAAAACACAAGCACCCTCCTGAAACCCCATTTGGAGCTCGAACCTCAGCATCTTCCACTCAAAAGCCCTGGAACCTGGTCATGCACGAGAAAGGAAGGGGGAGGCCGCACCTGGTCCTTGTTCTCACGCATGAAGCGCCTCTTGATGCTCACCTCCAGGCAGGCAAGTTCTCCGGTGAAAAAAAACACGAACCACTTGGAACCTTGACGCAGCTGCTTGAGCAGCAGCTGCAGCTCCATCAACACCAGGGCTCGAAGCACCGCCCCTGCCTTGAAGCCAAAGATTCCCACGGCCACCAAGAGGATCACGAAGGCAAAGAAACTGATTTCGCACACGAAAACGCAGGACATATACCCGGCGGTGAAGCACTCACTCCATGCACGAAGGCGTTTTGCGAAAGAAAACACACTAAACACACTACCAGGATGCCAATTGGTCGTAAGGGGTGTCCATTAACCACCCCCTTTTATGGTGTCTGAAACCGTGTTTTTCAGAGCTTCTATCTTGTTCAATGTGATGATCTTTGGATCTCTCACCCAAATGCGCAGTGTTTTGACCATGTAACACATCAAAAGCATGTCCAGTTAATCCAAGAAGAAGCTGGAAGTCAAAGACTAAGACATGAAATCCATTGAAATCCCATCTTTAGCTTTCACCTTTCGCATTACATCCTCTCCGTCTCTTACTTCCAAGCTCCAAGAGGCATCAAGGAGATGCACATCATCATGATCCAAAAGTTGTGCGTGCCCGGCGCGGTATGCCTCGGTTCAACGATGTTCCAAGCTTTCATTCCTGGACCATCCTGGACCGGGGTGTGTCTGGAAGCCTGTAGGTAGTCTGGGGTAGCCCATTGGACACCCTGACAGGATGGTCCTGGTTGGTTGCTTTCTGATATTCCTGAGGCCAGAGGAAAAATTGATCGCTTGTGAACCTCCAGGACACATTGCAGGACACATTGGCTCCAGCCACGCGGGAAGTCGCCCAGTTCGGATTGAAAGGTTTCCTGCAACTGGCGATGCTTCCTTTGGGGAAAGATCTTCAAACCTGCATGTTCTGGTGCGGAAAATCCAAGACCCTCATCCGTTCAACCACACCGCCATTCAGAACCGGTCCCCCCAGCCCATGGCTTTTTTCCCAGCAGCATGATGGCATCGCGCAACACCACAGATTCCAGGTCAGTGGAAACCACATCCTTGGAGGATGGACAGGGAGAAGGTTGCTACCATATACCTATTGGTCGTACAATTGAGGGTATTCCCTCTACAGTGTATACCCTCTATAGATGAACCAACCAATAGTAACGAATGCCAACTATGGAAGGAATGTTGCCAAGAACATCCAAGAACACTCACCCACAGGATGGCAATCGTGGCACCCCTGGAAGAGCTCACACGCTCTGAAAGAGGATGGAAACATGCTCTGAACGGCAGAATGTTCCTTTCTGATCTTTCTGGGCTTTTGAAACAAACCCGAGTCCATGGCAGATTTTACTGCAACCAACCAGATGCGAAGAAAAAGACACGACACGACACGAAGGACAGGCCAATGGTTTCAAACTGGAACAACGCAAACAAGATTAAACGTGTTGGGGACGAAGTGGCAGCCCCCTCCAAGAATGCTGGTAGTTTCTCGTCTTTGACAGCATGTTGGAGCAAATTTGGTATGTAAGTATGGTTCAAACCCTCGAGTACGACCACGGGTCACCCTCTTACAGGTATGAAACGAACAAAATTCCTTAGGTCACCTGCTGATTTTCTGGGGTTCTTTGACATGGGGATATCAGGCGGTCAGCCTTTGTCCCCCAAACCACCCAGGTAGGTAGACACCAATTGTCAGAACCTGTGGGGTGCTTAACCTCGACTCAGAAACACTGCCATGGGTATTTGGGACCATTTGGAACCTCAAGTCAACTGGAATTGGCTCACATACCATCTCTGGCCCTGCACCTCTCGAACCCAGCTCTTGCTCGAAAAGCATCCAGCACGAAGCTATCACTCGCCTGGCCGTGCCATGAACTCACAGCCCGAACCTCTGTTCAAACCGTTCCCGCTGTTCCGCACGGTTTGCTGGATCCCTTGATGGATCCATCAAGCGTTGGGAGAAAAACAAAGCCCAGAGGTCTGGAAAAGTTCACCAAACACATGTCCACCTACCAGGAGTCACGTTCGACGGGGTGCGATCCATGGAGGATAGGGGTGCCCCAGAACACATCTTAATTGAGTAAGGGGTGTCCTTAATCTCCAACATGGTGTTACAAATTACAAATGATCCACCTAACTTGTCTGTAGGTCAGAGGTTCCTTGTGAGATGGTGTTTGGGGAATTGCTGCCCCCCAAAAAGCGTGCTCTACATACATGGCAGCGGAGCAGGTCTGCGGCTGCGTCTGCGGAGGTCTGCGGGCCTCTCCTCCCTGGGGATCCTCAGCAAAGACCTCCACACTCAAGGGGCCTAACGGAGCGGGAGGGTTGGAAAGCTGGAGAGGCAGCAGCCGTCGCTTGGAGAGGTATAGCTTGGAAGGTCCTTTCTTGCTTCTTCTTTGGCAACCCCTTTGGGCCAAGGTGACTTTTCAAAAGGCCAGGTCCAGGTGGTGGGGGGTCGGGGTAGAGTTTGTGATAGCTGGGTGAGTATGGTAGGTCGAAAAGGGCTGGCTATATAGATGAAGAGGTGGAGAAGGAGTGGATTGACTACATGTATATAGGTATAAGCGAACAGTTCGATGCTCATGTGGGTCTGGGCGAAAGCCTGCAACATAACATCTAGTTTACCCGTTTCCGTCTTCTTCTGTGCTAAATGGACCATACAATAGCAAAATACAGCAAACTCCTCTATAAAGAAGTACTTCAAGACCAAAGGGAACATCCATGAAAACACCCAAACACTCCACACCAAAACCCTCTGTTTGGACCCCTCAAAGCGACCTCTTAAATCATCTCTTAAGGTTCCACTTCCTATTCCAAGTTTCCGGTGGGCGCTGCAGGATGGGCCTGTGTCTGTGGCCTGCGGCATGCCGCTGAAGGTCCCTGTGGCACGGTCAAAGTGCCTTGGATTCAAAGGCGGCCGAAGGCGACTTTTGCATCGATGTCCGAGCTTTGCTTCGTCACAATGTTTTGATGTGTTCCGTATTTGTTCTTCCCAAGAACTGGTGCAATAACATGCAAACACACATAATTACCAGGCTTTCTACTTCAATGGCTTACTTTCCAGCACTACTTGACGCATCGAAAGCCACCAAACTTCACCTATACCAAGCCTTTAAAGAGTTGCTCAAACCAGAAGAACTCCCTGTTTCATACCTGGACCCTCATTCAGGCTCAAATTTCTGCCTGCTCCAGAAAATCTGCCTGAACCGGGGTTTGTCCTAGGTATAGACCCGTCCAACCAACTCAACCTAACTCACCCACCCGCTCCCCTCCGTTCGCAACGCTTCGCTCACCTCTCCACCCGCAACCCGTCGCTCACCGAGCAGCAGCCAGCTGGGCAGTGGCCGGCCATCGCTCCGCGCGGCGCGATAGGAGCTGGGCCCCGACCCGTCGGCGTGGCCAAACGTGCCCACAGGGATCTGCGACGAGGGATCCGCGGCGACGACGACGCGCCGCGGCGACGAACACGCGGGGGGGTTCAAGCGGAAGCGCCGGAAGTGTGTTAGGCCCTGCCCAGGGGTGGTTTGTGCCGATTGGGGGCCATGGAAAGGTTTTGGAGATGGTGGGATAGATGGTGGTCATGAGGTTCAAAGTTCAAAGGTCTGTTCTGCTTCGAAGTTCATCTTCCCGGGTGTATACCTTCGAGGCCCGAGAGAAAAGGAGCTTGTTGGCGAGATTCTTCAGCTCTCCTAAGACGATTTTGTCTGGATATTGTATCCCAGACCATCCGTACAGTGACATTTAAAATCATGTACTCCATGTGCAAACAAATGAATTGAATCATTCCATACATGGCTCTGGATAATTATAAGGTTATCATCCTTGATCGCTTCACTTTATGATATACGTATAGTGAAGAGGTACTGGATCCACTCTGGCGCACTGCAGTGCTCGGCTGGGATGTGACGAATTACAACGAATTACAACGAACTCAGATCCATTCCCAAATGCTCCATGAGACTGGCAGGCCTATTCTCCCGCCCCATGGGAGGGTAGTTTGAGGGGTTTCTCTGGGGCAACCAGTCCTCCTCCAGTCCCATGGAGTGTCTGGGATTGAGATCCGTCTCGCGGCACGATCCGTTGTTTGTCCGGCCGAGCGGTCCGGAAAGCTCGAGTATAGGACACCAAGAAAGACAATGATGAACGGTGGAAATAGGAGCACACAATCTCCTCCCCAAAACGACACATTCAACATCATTCAACAATCTATGTTCATGTTTCAACCCTATGGAGTGTTAAACACTCCGTAGGACTGGAAGATCTATGCACATTGAACCCCCAAACCACCTGCCAGCCGAGCGTTTGTCGATTTCGAGTCAAAACGATCATCATAACAATACCCGGTTCGAACGCCGTTCGGCGAGCAAACGACTCCGACACCCCCTCCTTGAAGATGAAGTTCTGCCCCACAGACGCCTCAAAGCTTCACCCGGCAAAGCTTGCTTCTCGCCCGAAATCACTCGACGGTGCAAAGTGAGATCGGAGAAAGCGCGGAGCCGCACCAGCCGCGGAGTCGGAGCACATGTTTTCACCATGTCCTTTTTGGGGTCCCGGAGTCGGCTTCAAGACGTAAAGTCATATAATAGCCAGTCATGAAGAAACTATTTATTATTGTGTGGCCCAAATTCAACACCTATTAGTGTCAACAGGATCACACATCTCAAGAAGGTTGCTACACTGGTGCATGTTCCTGTCATGCCATTCAGGTCTGATCCATCACTCTACACCTCATGATACCTCAAATAGTTTTACCTTCTCTGTCTCGTGCCATTCAAGCCGATTCCTCGACGGAAGAACCTTGTCCCCAACGCGTCGGACGCGGCCTTCGTCTCCAATTTGAAGTGCCGCAAGGGCAGCATGGCGCCCGAAGCTGCAGCGTCCCTGGTGGACGCGGCTCCTGCAGGGTTCGCGACGGAATGAGGCAAACATCTCCAGTGATCCGCTGTTCTCTAGACCTGCAAGTAGCTCCTCAGAAGGTATGACTGCACCCTCCAAACCCACCCCAAACACCTTCTCAGAAGAGTAGGACAGACCCATTGATGATAGAAATGATTAGAGATGTCATGCTCTGAACCAGGAGTGTCGGACTGCATGGCATGGCCTTGTTTGAAACATGGAAGGAGATACCCCCATTCTTTAATGGACAAAGCACCTGCAGGTGGCTACTATGCTTTCGTCAAGAATATCCGCCCTTCATCTGCTCCAACTGGGTATCGGCTCACAGTTCCCCCTCAATGACTCAATGTCGATCTATCGATCTCAATCATTCCTCACACCCGGTTACAAACAAACATAGCGCTCCTGTAATGTTCAGGAGAAAGCTCTCGCTGATGCTTTTGCCCTTACTGTCGTGCGCCGTGACCCTGAGCAAAAGCAAAGCATGGGGCCAACATCGTTGCATCGACTCTCAGTTTCATGCGACACCCAGGACCCTCAAGTAGCAGTGGATGATGACGGTCTGGCTCTTTTCCTGCTGCAGCACAGACCTCACCCGCTTAACCTACCCGAGCCGCCAAAACCGCAAAAACACCGTCTTTTGATGCCCATCAATGAGGGCAGGCAGTGCCAGAATCTGCTGCAATACCTTACAACAAAAAATACAAAACATTACAAAACACATCAAACCTATAGTTCTTGTGGTTGAAGCGCCACAAGACAAGGTCCCAGTAGGAATGACCCATAAAGTACATGAGCATGGAAGTTCACCTATGACGATCTAGCTTGGAAAACAACACATAATGGATCATAATTTATAATACGCAAACACTCCATGTATGCCATATATGCCTATATTGACCCCCCAAACCACCCCAACTGATCGGCATATATGGCAGTCCCATGGGTCGTCTCTGGGATATAATAGCACGTTGGGTGATCGTGACCGGTGCAGTCTCAGGTCATCGACCGAGACACCACTGTTGGTTGTTGGTTGTTGGGGACATTGGTGTCCGAGACACCATTGGGTGGTCAGGCTTTTCTGCACTGAACGAGATGCTTCAAGTGCTCTATCCTGCTCTTGACTGGCTTGGAACAACGAAGGAATCCTTGATCTACGCGATCCTCCACATGATGTATCAATCTGTCTACTCAATGTTCAATCCTCATCAATTAGATTTAAGTATACCCTAAAAGTCGAACCACCATTAGTTTTACTAAGGTTTTTTGCACTACCAGATCAACCATTTAAAAAATGGTCGACTTGACTTCCAGGGTATCGAACACCTCCCCCGTGCTTCGATGCATCGACCCGTGCGACCTTGCCGACCGCCACGTCCGCGGGCTTTTAGCGATTCGCCTCACAGCCATGAGGCCACCATCACCTGGCAGCCGCTGGCGAAGAGGTTGGTGCAAAGGTCGGTGTTTTTTCTCTGCTTAACATCAAAAACTCGAGTGATGAGTCAAACTATAGAAAAAAAACATGAAAAAAACAAACCCGAATCTCTTGAAACAACCCAACTGACAACTCAATAGCAAAGCTTTCCCAAGCTATCGTGGAGTTACTCCGTGAACAACATCTACTCGAGCCACGCATGACGTCTGTTAAAAAGTCAGCCACGCATGCGGCTGAAACCACTTGCCACGAGCATCTTCGAGCGGTTTATTAGTGAAAAGATGTGCATACCTCACAACTACGTGGCCCCTCACATTCAAGAACATGTGTCCCATGTTTTCCAGCATTTTGCTGCACGCTTGCGTCACGCAAGGACCTGAAGGAATCCGCCGACTCATCAACACTTGAGCTGGCTGGTCGAAACGAAGCGACGGACTTACAAGGACGCCATCACACCAGAGTAAATCCGCGATCAACAAATGTACGAAACACCTAAAAATATAGGGTTATTGCTAAACGATGCAAAACGGCACAATGTAGAGGAAACACATCTCTCAAATTTGTAATTTAATGTTCAATTTCATCCAATCCCAAGAATAACAACCAAACCAGGCCAAACCACCCCACGCTCTCATCTCATCCCCACCTTGCCCAGGCGTGCCATGGAAGCGATGACTCTTCGGGTCAAAAAAGAGCCATGGCGGGAGGGGATGACCGTCCTAGGTGGGCGAGTTGAAATCGAACAAAAATGAGTTGACAACAGAAAAATGATGAAAAACAAATCAATATGTGGGTTTGTTCCTTCTCTCCAAAACCAACGTTTTCACCTGCGACATGCAGTTCACATCAAACTGGACCCTGTCAATGGCAATCAACGATTTGGGCGAATTTGATCCACCCAATCCCAAAGGGTGTTCGTCACTTTCGTACAATCCGAGGCACGGCCAGAGTTGCCTTCATGGGTAGGTCCCGGTCTTCCTCAGAGCGAAAATCACATCATACCACAAAAACATTGCATAAAAATGTTGAAAACAAACGGACCCCATCATGCGTGCTTTTGTTTCCGCATCATAATTGTATGGTTATTCAATGCACGCCCGGTCGACCCACTCAAACTGCGCAAGGTTTTCCGCAAGCTGCGCAAAGGTCGACCTCACAGTGGTGAGTCGTCTTCACTCAATGAAGGCATCGGCAAGCGCCAGAAACCAGCGAATTCGGCTCCGAGGCTGGCCGTGCCGATTTGAACAAGATCGCCTGCAGTCCAAAGAGGGTTGGGTAGGTTTTTGTCCAGCACCGCGCACTTGGTTTCTTTTGGCCAAAGCGCGGTTAAAAGCACGTTCCAAACATCCAAACATGCACTTGATTGCTAGATGGCTTTGTTTTTCCTCAATGAAGCATGTGATTTCACCGAATGTGTGGCCAACTTCTCACCCTCAACACACCGCATCGCACAACGAATGACCTTGTCCATTCCAAGGTTGGCATCAAAGGCTTGTTGATCCTACATCAGACCGAGGAACGTCTGTAAAGTCACAATCAGCACAAGGCTAGCACAGGCTATTGCAACAGAGCTTAGTTCATCGTCCGACAGTCTGCCCGCCTTCCACGACGGTGTCTTCAGCCTGGGGTTTGGGAGTGTCAATGGTGCCTGGCCTCTTAAGGGTGCTTCAAAGCTGCTTCTGAAATTCACGCCTTCCTGGCAAACGCATCACGCAGCCCCTGTTCTTCCTGTCTGTGCACCGTGCTATGAACTAGTGGAGGCCAACTCAGGCCAACTCGGCTCTCTGGCAGCAAGGCTATAGCTTTCATTTCCACGCTTAATACAGCTTTGGCGTTTAATATGTAGTTCACTTCTCGGATGGGGGCAAGCATCATAGCTCAGCTGATTGCAGTGCGCGATGCTGTTCATGATCTTGTGTGGAAGCAGTCAACATGAATGAAAGGGTTGAAACAATGGGTGCTTTGATGACATGGCTGACCTATCATGCTAGAGGCTTGTGGTGCACCAGTCTTCCTTCCCCAGGATGTCAAACCGTCTTCTCTTCTCTTGAAGGCATGTCAGGTTGCGCACATTCATATCATATCTACCATTTTGTTGTTCAATGTTTTATGTCCAACGAAAGCACTCATGCACAAACACATACAATATCCAGTGTTTTGGTGGATCTTTCAGGAAATGTAGCCAGTTCATTTACTCCAGGACACAGTAAGAACTACACGAGCCACCTTTTTGCGCTGCACCACTCGAGCAGCTGGAATCAATATACAGTAATACGTAGCTCAAATGATCCTTCTGTCTGACACTCTTTTTGCGATTTGCTGGGGGCTGCCCTTTTTCACCAAACAGTTTACTGTTGGGGTTCTCAATGCTTTTAAGTGTGTCCGCTTGTCTGGCTAGTGTGTCCGCCCTCCGGCAACTCCTTAGTAGCAACTCTTTACATTTGTCTCCCAGTCTGGGCTAGCTTAGTACAGTAGCACTTCTTTACATGCGTTGCGCGGCCTGGGCAGCACGCTTTTTCACAAATCCTCAAGAGCGATTCTGTGTATATATATATATATTTTTTTTATTTGACTCCCAGTCTGGGCTGGTGTCTCCTTTGCCTGTGTCTCCCAGTCTGGGCTGGTGTGTCCATCTTTTCACAACTCCTTTCTTACATTTGCTTTCCAGTCTGGGCTAGTGTGTCCGCCTTTTTCTGGCAGCTCCTTAGTAGCAATTCTTTCGATTTGTCTCGGAGGTTTGGGTTGTGTGTCTGCGTGTTTGCCTTCTGGCAACTCCTGGGTAGCAATTCTATATTTTTGTCTCCCCATCTGGGCTAGTTGAGTAGTGCACTTGGTAGGGAGCAAGGGGTCAAGCAAACAAAGGTACACTTCT